CCTTCTCCTACCCCTCCACCTCAAACATCTAATCTCATCTCATCTACCTTCTCCTCTATCTTTACTATATTCCGATGTTTTTCTATTCTACCTGTTATCTCACACCTTCTGACTATCTATTTTACCCTTCTCTCCTTCCTCTCTCTCATTCTTCTTTTCTCCTTACCACTGTCTCAGTAATTAGACTCATTCATCGAGTCTTCTTACTATATTTCCTTTATCAAACAAAGTAAGTTGTATATCGCATTATACGCCCTTTGTGAATATTAATATGCACGCCTTATACTGTGATTTTCACTGATCTGATTTTATATGTCAGACATTATCGCCTATGTTGCATTATTATCGCTCTACCTTCCTTATCAACTTTAACTTCTACCTCCATTCATTCTCTTTACCATCTATCACCTACTATCCCATCTCTCTCTTCGCAATTCCTACCCTTCTTATATTCTGCATTACCTAGATGCTTATGATGTAAAACACATACCTTCTATTTTGTCTTGACTTCTTACAGATTCTATTCCCCTTCACGCTCTTTACCAGTCTTGGGAGAAATTATTCTCTATTAATCCCTAACAAAACTGCTTTTGTACTTTGCATTCGTAGTTATTTCCTATCTCAATATTAGCTTCTCCCTATTATAACTTCCTTACTTCTTCTGTGCTTCTACCTTACGTATTTCTTATACAATTCCTATTGTCCTTTTCCCTAGTGCTACTTTTTCTTTCGGTCACTTTTATTTTTAGTCAACCACTTGAACTTTCAGACTCTTTAAATCATCTCTTCCTCATCTACTTATTTCTGAGATACTCAGTGTTCGCTTCAGGAGGAGGGACTTCTAATCTGCTTTTTTGTTGTGTAACATAAGTAAATGCTTCTTGTGTAGCTCTTTTACTATGACTTTATTCTTAGGTTCAAACTCTGTCTTTGAAAGTATGACTTTGAGGCTGGGCTTAGCGACTCAGGTCTGTTATCCCAGCTACTCAGGCAGAGATCAGGAGGATTATGGTTTTCCACCAACTTAGACAAAAAGTTAGCAAGACCCCATCTCAACAGATAGCTGGGTGTGATGGTATATACCTATGATCCCAGCTATTCTGAAGGTAAAGTTTAGAGGACGGTCATGGTCCCAGGCTGGCCCAGGCAAAAAGAGAAACCCTAACCAAAAAAAAAAAAAAAGAACAAAGATTTAAATAAAAATCAAATACCTGAAGCAAAAGATCTGAATGCATGGCTCAAGTGGCAGAGCACTTGCCTGACAAGCACAAGGCCCTGAGTTGAAATCCCAGCACTGCCAAACACACACACACACACACAAGTATGACTTTGAATTGAAAATGGGTATGTAATGGTCATCTTTTTTCTTTCTTTCTTTCTTTTTTTCTACAAAACAAAAAAACCATATACTTTAATTAGTATATTATAGAGATTCAAGTATATATAGCCATCAAAAAACAGAAGAACATGACAATAAAAAAAATACTTAAAGCACCAGAAAATATACTTTGAGATTAAAAAATTGAGAAAAATCTGAAGTTTTGGAAGACTAAAAAATACAGAAGCAATGGTATATGATACATGAAAATATTTTTAAAAATGAGAGAAAGCATACAGACATAAGATCAATCCTGAAGAAAACAGATGCGGTTATAAGGCAGTTGCAGTATTGAAGTATAACATGAATCTTCACTTTGAAGTATTACCCTCTCTTCACAGTATTGAGAAACACAATAAGATCTGCATTAACAAACACTACAACATTTATAATCCAATAATAAATGGAAAGTTTTACAATATTCTAAATGCAAGGTAGATACAGTACCAAAACGTGTGGTTGAATAAAAAAATGACAACAGAAAATGAAACATATTAAATAAGTTAATAAATTATGTCAAAATCAATGGACCCAGTTTGTGGTTTGTTTATTGGCACATAATACTCATAACCCCTTTCAATTATTTGATCCTTAATGTCCTCCAAAATTTTACAGGGTAAAGGCTTGGTCTCTAGCATGGTGCTATTAGAAGGTGGTAGAAACTTTTAGAAGGGCTAGTGGGATGTTTTAGTTCAGTGGAAGTATGACCTCAAAGAAGATTATGAGACCCTGGTCTCTTCCTCTTCCTCTTTCTCTTTCATTCCCAGACATGACATAAACAGGCTTCTTCCATTACATGATCCTAACATTATATGCTACCCTAACACAGGTCCAAAAGCAATGAGTCCAACCTGCATGGACTGCTATTCCAAAAACTGAGAAAATACACCTTTACTCTTTACAAGTTGACTATATCAGGTGTCAGTTAACAGAGGGCTCACTATACTTTGAGAAACTATCAAAAATTCTATATCCACACACTCAATTCTCAATCTCCTTTCTATTCCTTGATTTGCATCACAACTTGCTTGTTCTTCAGATTATAAAGACACAGCTTTTGTATCTTAAGGAGATATGTGACTTGAACTTCATTATTACTTGATCATCATAATTCCTTTATCACCCTAAAATCCTCAAGTTTGCATAAACAGCCACTCAAATCACTGCTTTTACAAGTTATCTGTAGCTCTTTAAATCATCTGTGTCATATTTTAAAGGGGAAGGAAGCCCTGATATCTTGTCCTTCTTTCTTTTTTTTAAAAATTTTTTATTCATTTGTTCACATGTGCATACATTATTTGGACCAGGCATCTTTTCAAAGTGAGTTAAAGTAGGGTTTTTATATCAGAAGAGTTTACAATCCAATTTTAAACATAATTTCAATGAGACTTACTAAGTTATCATGGCTTAGACCATTTTCTGATATTTGTTTTTGGTTTCTTATTTTTTGTTCATGAGCATTAAAAGGATTCCTTTTTTCTACCAAAATTTTTATTAAATGTGCATGAGAATAACAGATCATACATAGTAGGAGAATGATACAATACTTAGTCCTATTTTAAAATTTAAATTGCAAATATAAATGAGCTTAGGAGCATATTGAGTTTGATTCTGCTCTTTTAATCAGAAATATATTGGAAAGATATTTGGTAAATTAGCAGTAAGATGAGAGAATCAAATGTAGAAAATGAGCAGAAAGCAAGAGGTACAGTCAAGGTAACACAAGAACAATTTTGTTTGGCTTTTACTACATGTCACCAATACAGACTGAACTCCACAGCTATGAATAGTGGCCAATGCTCACTGGGGTTTGCTTTGCTACCTGGAGATTCAGAATATCAGTAGACTTAATAAAGCCTGGAACACATCCTTGCCCGTGATGCCAAGGAGGAAACAAGGTCTGGAGTTTTGCTTTCTGTAGCAATGGGCAGGGCCTTGCTTTTCAACAAAACAAGAAGTTCACTACAAATAGAGGGAGTTTGAATGCTTAGAAAGCAAGGAAAAGGGTACATGACTACTACCATCCACTTATTTGACTGTCTAACATCCATATACACCTTTCTTCCCATACTTACTTTTTTTAAAGAAGATTTCCAGCCTAACCTAATCAAGTATTCACCATACAAGAAAAGAATTAATCATCCTCATAAACATCATTTAACATCCCATAAAGGGTGTTAATCCTGAGTCTATGTAGTTACCATATCCAGCTTCAGCTCAAGATAATATTCATATTTCTTCTATTCTTACATGGTTCTTTATCAGTATTATGCAATCTGTAGACTCAATTGTATAGTTAATGTATATAAAATAATTCAGTAACAGAAAAAGGGAACATTAGTTAAAATATTATGTAAGTATATATATATATATACATATATATATATGTATATATATATATATATACATATGACAGAGAAAGAAAGGAAATGTGGATAGGCACTACAGTCCTTGTATTTTTGCAGCTATCTCAAGGCCAGAGCTGGCATTTAAGACTGTGCTTCATGTTCTCGTTCTTTCAGTTAGCACACAAATCTTCAGGATACTTTATCCAATATTGGGACTCAGGTCTTCCCCCTTAGAAATCAGAGGCCGTGATAGTCCTATCTCTTAGCATTACAATGCTTTTCTATTAATTTTGTTTGATTTATTACAGGAAATTTCTAACATATACAAAAGTAGCCTATAGTATAGTGAACTGTATGCATTACCTAGCTTCAGCAACTATCAGTCATAAGCAGCCTTGTTTCATCTCTACCCCACATTCATCCACCCTCAGGATTATTTTAGAATAAACCCCAGAGTACATTATATCATCTGTAATTATTTGTTTGTATCTCTAACACATAAAGATTTTTGTAAGCATAATCACAGTACCACTGTCTCACGTGTACAGTTATTTCTGGTATTAAATGTCCAGTCAGCATTTAGATTTCCCTCATTGTCTCATAAGTATCTCTTAACAGACTGTTTGAGTTAAGAGTCAATAGGGTGACACATATACTGTGTTGATCATTAGCTCAGAGAATAAACTGCATCTTTGGGGACAGGACAACATGACATCATAATGAGTCTTCAACTGATAATGCTTTTATGGGTGATGGGTAACATAAGAGTAATGAATGCTTTTGGCATCCACCAACTGCATTCTTTTTAGAGTAACTTTCTTGATATGAAGCTATATTGTGTGGAATGTGGTGGAGGTGTGTGAGATAGTCAATAGTTCTAATAATTGTAGTGCTAATAGAATGATGCTTGAGGAAAGCAAATCCAAAACCCAAAGAGGTCTTTTTTCCAGTAAGGGCAGAGCTCTGCTGCCTCCAAGATGGAAGATAACCAGTGTAGCTGGCCAATCCCTGCAGACTATGTACATATAATACAGCAGTGGAAGTCTCCCACATTATGGGCCTTAAGTAGGTCTTCACATCACACTATGGAAACCTGAATCCAGATGTGTGTACATTCTCTCTCACTTTTCTCCTAAACAGACAGAACATAAGCATATGATATGATGTAAGTGTAGCAGTTCATAGTATCCTGCATGAAACTGCTGTTTGTTCTTAATACAATGTCAGTTTTGAAACTCATCATTTATCTCCACATTTTGATTGATGTTTTGTAGAAACCATCCTGATGTTCACAAATACAGTGTGGAGACTGTTCAGTGGTATCCTCACGACACTGGCATGTTCACATCCAGCTCATTTGATAAAACTCTGAAAGTGTGGGATACAAATACATTACAAGTAAGTACATTAACATTTTCCAAATTGCTCTGTAAGGTGAAGGAGAGTTTAATCCTAAGTCATTTTAGTGTGATTATTTGCTAAGGTGTCCTACATGTTAGATGTGAAATCAGAATTAAAGAGAACTAGACTAGTTGAGTTTAACTCATCTCCTAGGTCTGCTGCCAACTTACTGTATGACATTGGGCAAATGCCCAAGCCTCTGTGTTTCAATTTTCTCATTAGTAAGTGGGGGTCTGGATGGCATGTTATAGAATGATTGTGAAGGTTAAGTGAGCCCTTTCATATAAAATTCCTGGCATAGTGCCTCACACAGTAAATGCTCAAAACCTGTTAGCTATTATTATCTTTATTATTTGAAAACCACTGTGGTCTAGTGAACTAAGAAAGAAACTTGGTTTTATCCCCTGTTGATCTATAAACTTAAAGGAAAAGAAAACTATAAGTCAATAAAGATATATGGTGGGTAATTTCTATGATAATTGGTCATATTTAAATTTCTAGTGCTAATATTTTCCCTGAGATGTGTCTCCATCTGTCTTCAAAACTTCTATATGTAAATGTAGGACCATCCCTTCATCCTTAACCTGTTCCAAACTGAGCACGACATCTCTAAACATGTTGTTATAAAACCTTGGCAAGTCTCCCTTCAAACTTATACTCCTCTTGTCTCCTTCCCTTACCATAACTGCACATCTACAGCTCTAGAAACTCTTAACTGGTTTCCTTGCTTTACTTTCCTTCCCACCTATTCCACAGTAAGTTCTACCCCATACGCTGTCTCATCATATCTCTACCTAAATCCTTTTCTGATTCCCATTGTCTAAACTCATCCTAGCATTCTAAAATCTCTGTGACATTCCACCTTGTTCCCTCAATGGTAGCTTCTACCTCTTCAACACAAAAAATTTGCTGCAACTAAATTAGGTCCTTTGCCTGTGGAGCATATCTCAGTCATTTTATATTCCCTACCTCTAGACCCTTTCTCTATCCAACTTTTCCCTTCTCTTGAGGTCACATCTGTTGTTGCAATTACATTGAAACAAGAATTAAGATATTAGAGTTCTAGTCCTATACTGCTACTTATTAGATATATTACTTTAGGTAAAGTCATTTAGCAAAGGTCTCTTTATTTGTAAAATTAAGGTATCAGTCTAAATGTTGCTAAGGTCCCTCCAGTTCTATCATATAACGAGTGAGGTTTTGGAGTCCATTTTAATCACTTTTTTGGGATTTTTTTTTTTTTTTTTTTTTTTGGCGGTGATGGAGTTTAAAGTCAGGGCTTTGTGCTTGGTAGGCAGGCGCTGTACCACTTGAGCTATGCCCCTAGTCCTTTTAGTTTGGAGTGTTTTTCAAATAGGGCCTTATTTTTATGCCTAGGCCAGCCTGGACCACAAACTGCCTATGTAAGTTTCCCACATAGCTGAGATGACAGATATGTGTCACCACACCCAGGTTTTATTGGTTGAGATGGGGGTCTTGTTAACTTTGGCCTAAGCTAGTTTTGAATCACAATCTTCCTGATGTCCACTTCCTGTATAAATCGGATTATAGACATGAGTTGCTGTGCCCAGCTCACCTTTTTATTTTAACTTTATAAAACTGTTTTCTATATTCTCATTTCAGCACATTTTGTATTATATCATTTTCATGCCTATTTATCTTAACTGTTTTTCTAGATCGTTACTTCCCCAAAGATAGGGCTGTGTTTTATATACCACTAAATCCAATGTTATGTAAAACTGCTGAATAAATACTTTAAGAATAACTAATGACCTAAGTAACCAACCACATGTTAATAAAATCGTGAAGTATAGGTATGATTCTATTCTGAATACCAATACTATGTAAACAAGTGCAGATTGAGTATACTTCTAATAAACTGAACAGGTGCTTTCTTTTTGACCTTGTTAGATTAAAAATACTCCATTGTTGATCATTTATCTTATTTTTATAATAAGGTATTTATCTTAAATATAAATCATTAAAAATAAGAATATGTTTTAAGGATTAAATGAATGTCATGAACTTCCATTTCTGGCTACAATGGGTAATCTTGTAACCAAACCAACATATCCATTGGGAAAAACTAGAAAAGCTAGGTGAAACATAAACATCTGTTTAAAGGATTTGGAAAGCTACTAAGAAATCTAGAACGGGGAGACCAAACCCTAGAGAGCAGGAAAGCTCACAGAAGTCAATTCGCCTTTCCATACGTTTTCCTCCTTGCCATTTACCATTTCTTGATGTAGGGCAAGATACTGAGAGGCAGAATCCGAGAGTTCAGTGACCATAAATATAATTCTATCCAAAGTGATCCATTGAGTCAGTGCATTTCCAAGCAGAGTCTTAGGATCTTTCTGTGGGAATTGACTAGCTGTTTCTAATAACCATATGGAAAAGCAAAGGAAAAAGGCACTTTTTTTTGCGATTAATGGGATTTGAACTCAGAGCCTACATCTTGAGTCAGTCCACCAGCCAGCCCTTTTTTGTGATGGGCTTTTTTCGAGATAGGGTCTCACAAACTATTTGCCTGGGCTGACTTCAACCATGATTCTCTGCCTCCTGAACAGCTAGGATTACAGGCGTGAGCCATCAGCACCTGGCTGACAAGGCACTCTTAAAGAATGAAGTAGAAAGAGTTCACTGTGAAACACCAAGACTTACTGTTAACCCACACTAGTTAAGGCAATGTGATACTGGTGCAAATGAAAAATAAGTAAACAAAAAACAGGACAGAGGGCCAGGAGAGAGAAGCATACCCATATGTGTACAATCATTTGATCTGTGACAATAGCATCATTGTAGTGCATTAGGGAAAGGATGGCCTTTTTCATTAATGGTGTTTGATCAACTAGGTGTCCATTAAAAAAAAAAAAAAACTAGTATTGAATACCAGACACAAAAGTCAATTTCAAATGGGTTGTAGGTCTAAAGTGAAAGATAAAGTTCATGGAACAAAGTGTCCTCATGGTTCAAGATGGGCAGACACAAGAAGTACTAACCAAAAAAAAAAAAGGTGGATTGAGGAATGTAAGTATATTAAAATTAAGCACTTCTATTCATCAAAAACATCATTAAAACAGTGAAAAGATTAAACCATGAAGTGAGGTATGACACCCTTTATATCCCTATGTCTGAAAAAGTATATATACAGATTAATCAACAAAAATGGAAAGACTGATAACCTATAGGAAAACCATACCACACACTTATACAGGCACTTTAGTAAAGAGGATGTTCAGTGACATTCCTCAAGGAAAATTCCTCAACTTAACTGAGCACCTGGAAATGTCAATTCCCAGTGAGGTTTTTTGGTGTGCCCTCCAGAGTGGCTAAAATCAAAGACACATGGTAATAACAACTGCCTGTATTGCAGACTGGATTATAAACTGGGACAGATACTTGGTATTAACTGTGGTACTAACTATGTACATAGCTGTGATTTGGCGGTTACGCTTTTGACTACATGAATGCTATACATTGGTGCCCCAATAACCATGCATAAGATGCAGGAGGATCATGAGTTCAGTCTCACTACATCACGATACCCTGTCTCAAAGGAAAAAATTGTACAAGAGTGTTCATAACACACTGTTCATTTATAATTTTTTTTGGCAGTACTGGGGTTTGAACTCAGGGCCTAGTGCTTGCTAGGCAGGTGCTCCACCACTTGAGCCATACTCCCAGCCCACTTTTGCTTGTTATTTTTTTTACATAGGGTCTTATGCTTTTTGCCCAGGGCCAGCCTTGGACAGAGATCCTCTTGCCTGTGCCTCCCACATAGCTGGGATTACAAGTGTGAGCCACTGTATCCAGCCCTAGCAGTACTACTCACTATAACCAAAAAATGAAAACAACCCAGCTTTGGGGGGTGGGTTATTATTGGTTTTTGTTGTTTGTTTGTTTGTTTGTTTGTTTTAAGGGCTCTTTTTTTAACTCACTAGATAGCCTAGGCAGACCTCAAACTTATGATCTTCCTACTTCTGCTTCCTCCAGACTGCTAGAATTAGAGGCATGCACTACCAGCTCTGTTCATTAAGTTTAATGATGATTGTTAGAATTTTACATTTGAATACTATCAGAGCAAAGATAAGGAAAGGCCAGTGGTATTGCTGGATCATATGAGAACTTACACTTTTTAAATGTCTTTTTGATTATCAGACTGCAGATGTATTTACTTTTGAAGAAACAGTTTATAGCCATCATATGTCTCCAGTCTCCACCAAGCACTGTTTGGTAGCAGGTTCGTGTACGTGTTCTTTTGTTTTTTAATATATAGAATGCTTTCATGCCTTTTTTCAAATTTTTTTCTTTTTTTAAAAAATCTAGTTAGCTTTCATAAAGACATTTTAACACAGTTCTTTTATATTTTAATAAGGTATACGTTACCATTTATATTCAGTTCAACACATTATAATAGGCACTAGGATTTCAAAGATTAAGACAGCATCTTTCTTTCTTTCTTTTTTTTCTTTTTCAGTGGAACTGGGGTTTGAACTCAGGGATTTGCTTTTACAAAGCAAGTGCTCTAATGCTTGAGCCACACCTCCATTCCATTTTGTTCCAGTTATTTTGGAACAAACTATTTGCCCTGACTGACCTCAAACCTTGTCCTCCCAATCTCAGCTTCCCAAGCCTATGATTATAGGTGTGAGCCACTGGCACCCAGCCTCTTTTCATTTTTGTTTCTTTACTTCTGTTCTCTAAGGAGTTATTTTTAAACCACCAAAGTTTTAAAGATTTCACATTAACAAAATTTGGCAACTTTTCCAATTCAACACACTAAAACAAGGAAATTATTTTTTTCTCTTAAAGACTGTATTTGAAATGAAACAGTCATCTGTATGAATCCTGCAACAAAAATTTTCATTTGTGAGGAAGAAAAAATGTTTTCTATTGTCAGAATCTACCACTAGCAATTGGAAGTATATCATTAGCTTCAAAAAACAAGGCTGTTAAAATGATTTGATGTGATAAAATGGCATAGAACGATATACACATATATTTCTGATGTAAATTTCCTAGTTTTGATATTATACTTTAGTTACCTAACATGATGACGGGGTAACTCATGTGAAGGGTACATAGGCCTCTGTACTAGCTTTGCAGTTTTGTGTAAATCTATAATTATTTTAAAATAGTGCAATAATAGAGTTCTCTTACTAGTAAAGTATAAAGAGAGTCAGTCATTTTTCTTATTGTTAAAGATGACTTGAAATATATTTTGGAATCCATAATTTATATTTCTGCATAGGTACAGTGAAAATGCCACGATTCTTAGTGGTAGTGTATTGTTTCCTTTTGATGATGATTTAAAATAAAATTATGTCAAACCATTTTTTGTTTTTACAGTCGGCACTAAAGGACCCAAAGTACAACTTTGTGACTTAAAGTCTGGATCCTGCTCTCACATTTTACAGGGTATTTTTTACTTTGAAACAGCTACTACTTTGAGTAAACCATTCAATAAAAAAAAATTACTAACAGTGTATTTTTTGTAAGTGACTGCTGTATTTTGTGTTAGTTGTTAAAAGTCAACATCAAAATAAAGATCCTTCTGTGCATTATTCCTACAAACCGAACCATTGAGGGGACATTTATATGAACAGTGGCCATAGAGGAAGCTCAGGTCTAACTCAAAACCTCATGTTATTTCTACATTAGAAAAAAATACTAATAAAACTTACATCAGTACATTTGCCTCATAAGCCTTGTTAAATATTGCTTTAATGAGTAGACATTGTTCTTAATACATTTATATATATGTTTCATTACAGATATTTTAGAAATGTTCAAATAATGCAGTGTTTGGTCAAATTATATTTATTTAAGTTATTTTTACTTTTTTATGAGTATTTGATTGTCTAATTCTAAACAGTGAAATGATGGACTATAATTTAGAAATACACATTTTTATTCATCTCATGAGAAATACATAACAGATATACCAAGAAAACCTGGTGAGATGGATAGCATCTTTCTATTACCAATAAGCTAGGCAAATGAAAATGTCTGATTTGAATAGTTCTGAATCATTCAGTTTTACTTAAAACTGAATTAAACATTGAAATCACCTATCCTGTGAACTTATCACCTGTGCTTTCTAAAAAAAAAATTATACAAATGCTCTTTTTCATTTTTCTGTTATAACCAATTTCCAAGAAATTGGAAGCTTTTTTATTCCTTTAAAAATGTCTGTGTTTTATTGCAGTGGGTTTTTATCGTAGAGACAAGTAATTATGGATTGAATGGCATACTCTAGCAACTGTATTTTTTTTTAAAGACTCACTTGCTCTGATCTTTTCAAAGCAAAACCAATCCTTTAATATTAAAATACCTTGTGTTAAAAATGCCTCAACACACCTCACGTTAGCACTAAAACATAGACTATTACAAATTCAAAAACATGATTATTTCTATTCACTCATTATGCAAAATTATTGGCACTTTGTCTTTTGACTTATCAAATATTTTCTAGGACTTTTCATACAATTGTATTTTTCAGGTCACAGACAAGAAATATTGGCAGTTTCCTGGTCACCACGTCATGACTATATCTTGGCAACTGCAAGGTAAAGTGTTGTTTCCTCTGTTTTTGGTGTAGCATCAGTAATAAGTATTTGAAAAGACTGCATTTATTTGGGAAACATGTTTTAGCCTATCTAATCATTAGCCCCTGAGACATGAAATGTTGAGTTAGATATTTTAATTCATATCACCAAAATAAATCTTCCTTTGCATTGTAATCCTACCTATCCATCTTGAAGGTATTCACCTTCTAGAACAAAAAGAAAACATGAAAATTTATGCAGTAGATGCAAATCCCTAGCACTAGTGTGACACTATCTCACCTATGCCATATCATTTTTGCACATGAAAGTATCTAGCACTGTATTGAATGAAGAAGAATGACATTTCTGCTCCTGTTTTAACCCAGAATTATTTTGACTCTGATACAAAACATCAGTCTATGCATTGGTTCAGTGTACTAATATTTAATGACTCCATATCATGCGCCAAGCTTCAGGAAGCTGACAGCCTAATGAGGGAAAAATCAGTCCTTACAGGACATCCTGAAAAATGCTTTAATAGAGGTACATCTTTAGTAAGCATAATGTAGCAAAGAAAGCAGACGCACTTGACTCAGAGATTCAGAAGTGCAGGTGTGTGGGTTGTTTGTTGGAGGGAATGGTATTGCATACTTGTGTGCTGGGGAGAAAGTACTAGTGGAGAGAAATAGGTAAAGCTTTGACTGAGAAGCTTGAGCAATGCCAACCTAATGCCCTCGATCGTTGATGATGTGAGCGGAGAAGGACTTGATGTCATCTGTTGAAAATATGGGAGTAGGGAAGATGGTGAAGACCTGAATAGGAGAGGGAGCTGATTAGGAGTGCTTAGGATTTGTGGGCAGTTGTGCTCAGTTGAAGGTGTAGACCATACTTTATTAAAGCCACAGAAATCAAAACATCAAATGACTCAGACCTAATAGTTCTCAATGTTCAGAAGAAAGTAACTCAGCATATGGAAGTTGTTTAAGTCCTGGGTATAAGGAAAAAAATAACATCACAAAAAGGTTTGTAGGGGGCGTTTCAAGGACCTAATGAGGTAAGAAGTATGTATGTGTCAAAGTAAGAAAATTCAGCAATTAAAACAATAAAAGATTTTGATATTTTAATATAAAAATTTTAATAGAGCTTTTTGTAGAGTTCTTACAAAAGCTATTCATGTTTGATAACAATGAGTGTCTGGATTTTTTTTTTTAAATGCCTGCCCTACTTCTCTGTCACAGTTTAAGCCCCAAAGAAGCTTCTATTAATACTTTTCAGAATTTGCTGTTGAAATTTATGATTTCTGAATTACCAGGGGATAGACTATAGCTGTCAAAAGCCTGACTAAGGAAGGGTGAAGGTGAGGAGATAAATGCTGGTTATTATAGGCCCATGCTCTTGAGAGGCTTTCAGTTCTCAGGGTTCCCTGGGAATATGAATCGGCACCAGAATGGACCTAGTAATCAATAGAGTTGGATATGCCCAAGTCTGATCTGTTTCAGAAGAGACTTAAATCCTCATACTCACCCATTGCAGACATTTCACTCATCCAGAAGGAAAGAAAAGTAACTTTAGAATGGAAAATACTAGGTTTTTACTATCCCAGTTACCTAGTTTTGATGATGATCTGAAAAAATAATCAAGATCATAGAAATGACTAAGCCATGTATATGTGTCTGTACATATATGGTGTACATATGTATACAATGAGAAAAGGGCTTGTAAACTATAATGCCCTCCCATTAAAATGGCAAAGATCAATCAATGAGATAGAATATTGTTAAGGTCTTTGTGGAATCATAGCATGAGTTGAACTGATTTGGGGCATAGGGGTTTGCTGGGCATTCTTCTTTAGGAATAGCCTTGAAATTGATGCATGATCACAGATTTGCCTTTCTTCTTTCACTGACATGAAAGAAGATGAAAATAATAACAATTTCTAGGAGATACTAAATGTGGTTCCCAAGTATCTGGCAAAGATTGGCTTTTTTCTTATTTAAGCTAACTGTATTCTTATTCAAACCAATTTTTACACCAGTGCTTACACATAAATCACATTTTTTAGTTCAGAACATTACAAGTGATGCCCATAAAAACTGATAGGGGAAACAATTAAATGCAACTCCATTTGTTCACAAGTGATCAATGTGACTTTTAGAGAAACGGTGATTGAGTCTAGCCTCTATACTCTGGATTTACCTTCAAATAACTAAAACCATAAACAGTAGACAAAACAAGCAACTCCTAAGATGTCATCCTCAAATATTTAAATGTTCTTCTAAAGCACACTTCCTTATTACACATTAGGTTAGATTCCTAAGCCAAACTTTACTCACACCATTGAGTTTATTAGCAATCTTATGAAGTATTTGGAAATCTCTTGAATTAAAAGTTCCTTTGCTCTAGAAAGTTATAGTAAGCATACAATTGAAAATACAAATAAATATTCCAGGGCTGGGGATGGGGATATAGCACTTGCCTAGCCTCCTAGAGGCCCTTGGTTCAATCCTTAGAAGGGGGGAGGGTGCTGGTGATGTCATCCATATCTTTGAAATGAAATTCAAGTAAAAAACTTACAATCACAATCTTAACATAGGTCCTTCAAAAGTTAAACCTTCACTTTTCGGACCTTTAGAGGAGTCATTTTTTTTTTATAATTATTTTTACATTTACTCACATGTATATACATTGTTTAGGCGCCTTCCCCCACCCCCAGAAAAGTCCTATTAACTGATATTTAACATGTAATTCTTAAAATGCTCTCCCTAACAGAAGCAGATAAGCCTATAAGCTAGTAGGCCTATAAACAGGCTTGAGGTGAGAGGATTTTTTAGGGAAAAACACTCCATCAAGCAGAAGAGACTAGTGATACTAAAGGACACAGAGATACCTCAATGCAAATAAAATTCAAGCTAATGGCTCTTCATAATGCTGACTCCAGATCATCAGGAAAGGTTAAACACTGGGTATCCTTTATTATTTTGAGGTGTTTAGTATAATTCAGAAAATTTTTCCATAGGTCTTGTTATATTTTATTTCAGTATTTAAGTAGAACACCTTATTCTCTAAGTACCTGATACTGAGACGCTGTCTGCTGAGGGCTACAAAATTAGAAGAGACATTTCTAACTGAAGTCTGGAGTGGGAGGGAAATGAGCATTTTCTTGGAACCTTACAAAAAATGAGTCCAGCTATTTCGTGTTAGGTCCCTGAAAAATGGGAATTTTTTAAAAGTCGTTTTTATTAAGCAACACACCAAATATTAAAGTCTATTGCAAGGGATACAAAATACAGATCAAGCCAAGTACCCCAGTGCTGTTCCGGGAGCAAGTGCTGTTAGTCAAGCTGAAGACGTGGTTGCCATTTGCCTTGTGGTGCAGGTCGGGAGACCAAGTGTGGCCCTGCCTAGCCGGGAAGGACACCTGGAAGATGCACGGCCGCTGCCGCAAAGATTGATTTGAATACAAGAAACCAAGTGAAAATAAATTGTCCTCGTTATGCACCTTAGTCTCAATTTTTTATATAAAAAAAACAAAACACTAAATTCACGCCAGATCTATTCTTAAAGTGAAGTGTGTGGACTACCTGATGATCTAGGCACCATTTGAGTAGCAGAACAGTAGAAAAGATGATGTAAGACCTTGGGGGAAAGAAGCTCATGTGATTAAAACAGTAACACAAAAAGCAGCAGAATTTTGTCCTTGTGATCTGGAAAAGAAAGGTTACCTGTCTTTGCTCTTTTTTCACATCCTTATGCTGCTGTTGAGTGTTAGATATTTGCTGAATAGGCGTAAGTACAACTATACAGTTGACCAATACATTTGTGCTAATATAATGAAACCTCTGTGTGCCATAATGCTGGAATGGTGGATAAGGGCTACAGTTGCTATCCTAGCTACATATGTTAATGTAACATTTATTTCTTCCCAGTGCTGACAGTAGAGTGAAATTATGGGATGTGAGAAGAGCATCAGGATGCTTGATTACTCTTGATCAGCATAATGGGAAAAAGTCACAAGCTGTTGAATCAGGTAATGAAGACTATTAAGAGAAATATGACAATGATAGTGGGTGTTAGTTTTGTTTTATTATTTTGGTGGTATAGGGTTTTGAACTTATGGCCTCACACTTGCTAGATAGTTGCTATACTATTTGAACCATATCCTAGCTCTTTCTTTGCTTTAATTATTTTTTCAAGTAAGGTCTTATGTTTTTTGCCTGGGGTTGGCCTCAGACTGCAGTCTTCCTTCCTATGGCCTCCCATGAGGCTGGGACCACATGTGTGCCACCACACCCAGATTATTGATTGGTATGGGTTCTTGCTGACTTATTGTCAGGCTAGCCTCAAACCACAATTCTCCTGATCTTTGCCTCACAAGTAGCTGGAATTACACGCATGAGCCTGATAGTGATTTTTTTTTATATTGAGCCTTTTAAATTGAAGCCAAATAATAAATGTATATTGACAAATTACAAACTTAGTGACTTTTAAAAGGTATTAATCATGACTCACTTTCTAAATTAAACTTATGATTGTCTTTCTCCTAGATACAAGCCATTATGGCAGTTTCTTTTGCCTCCAATTTTGAAATCTAGAAGCTCTTTGGGATTAGCTTACTTTACAATTTTTTTCTCTGGTGAGGCCAACTATACAAATTCAGTGCCACATAGGACGCCACAGTAAATTATAGAGACAGTAACATTTTGTGCTATATCAGCATAAAGACTGCATGTTCTGTAGACTGAGTCAGCTGTAGTCCCTGTGACAATGTGCTTCAATTGCATTTTTGTGACAATTTAATTCCTGTGTGGAAATATTCACTCAGAATTCATTCTGAACTAGAAATATATTTGGTTGAACTAAATGAAAATGATTGCTTTGTTAATGCTTTAAAAATTAGACTATTAGGAATTAAGCTTTTTCAAGTGTATTCATTTTGAAAGTGATAATAAATTTTTATTGAGAGCACAACAGTTATTCTTTCTCTGTTAAACTTTTTATGGAAAACATTAGTCTTATTTATGTATATAATGTATATACATATGTACATATGTATGTCATATATATATATGAAGGGTTGGGGTTTTTTGTGGTGCTAAGAATTGATCCCAGGATCTTTTACATGCTAGGCAAGTACTCTACCACTGAGCCACATCCTCATTCCTTGGTTTTTTGAGAAAGTATTTTACTGTGTAGGCCAGGCTGGCCTCAAATTCGTGATCCTCCTGCCTCTGTCTCCGAGTGCTGGGTTTACAGGTGTGTGGCACCACACCTGGCTTATCATTGATTCTTAACAGTCCATGGAATGACTTTTAGATTAGAAATAGAAATACATGAGAGAGATTAATGGTGTTTAGTTTTAGTGTTAAGCTATGCATTTAATTGAGTTTGCTTGCACAAACTTGCTTGCTGAAAAAAATTGTATTTGGCAAGATTTTTCCCCCTTTGGTTTTCCTGTTTTTATGGTTCTGATTTATATAGCTTATCATATTAATCTGAGGAAATGTTATTTATTTAAACATGTTATTTATTTATTTAAACATTTAAATATTATTAATTTTATTTATTTATTTAAACATTTAAAAATGTTATTATTTAAACATAATCAATTTACATTTTTAAGTAACTCATCTAGTTGTCCCTTGGTATGTTTAAATAATTAAACATTAAATATGTGCTGAACACAGGAAAAGATAAACTGTACTGTATTTTTCATTGCAGCAAACACTGCTCATAATGGGAAAGTTAATGGCTTATGTTACACAAGCGATGGACTTCACCTCCTCACTGTAGGTACAGATAATCGAATGAGGCTCTGGAATAGTTCCAATGGAGAAAACACCCTAGTAAGAGATTTTTAAGCACCTTTTTATATGTCAATTAAAGATCTGTGACATATACTTTTTTTGCTATAGACTTAACTCCATTTCTTGCCTTTGAATTGCAGCTGTTTTTTTTTTTAAACTATTTTCCCACTATGTGACTTAGTAATTTTAAGTCAAGTCAACCTACTTGCACCTCATCCCTGCTGCATTCCCCTTCTTCACCGTGGCACTGCTCTAATGGGAGTGGACCTTGTTGCTCTGGTATACTGGAGAAATAAAAGACTGAGAACTAAATATGGGTAAAAGTTATATATAGTCAAATTGTATACTATATGAGACTCATAAACAAAACCCAAAGAGAATATTATAGTACTAGAAGATGTAGTAATTTATTTACTACTGGAATAAGTATGTTTTAAAAGTACTAGATTCATATGTGACAGTTGAGTATTTGTTTTCATGTATGCTGTGGTCCTCACCAGGAATGGTTCTTAACATTAATATAGTTTAGTAACTTTCAGAATAAACTGCCAAAAGTTTATGATTTGGTGATAATAATAGCTATTATTTATTGAGTGCTTATATTCCAGATACTGTCCTAATAATAATTAGCATTTAATATATGTGCTAGAGCAATATTGTCTAGTTCAGTTAATACATCAACACTGTGATGGTAATTACCATTATAATACTCACTTTACACATGAGGAAAATCAGACATACAATGGTTACATGACTTGCCAGAGTTTACAAAACTAGGAAACCACAAAAAAGCAAATAAATTTCCAAACAATCTGAAATGATTCTTCAAGGTTGCCTTAGTTTGCATTAATATTTCTGTCAAGAATAAATTACAAACATCCCTTGGTTTTTTCTCACTATTTATATTTCCTCTTATATGAAATATATAATCATGTTTACTAGGATGTTGAACATTTTGTTTAAATATAAGAGCCCTTTTTATAGAGTATTATAATATTTGAAGATAGATTTTCTCCTAGCCTTTGGTATCTTTTTAATTCAGGTTTAAGAGTGTGTAACTTTATGAATTTAATCCTACAGGTGAACTATGGAAAAGTTTGTAATGATAGCAGAAAAGGATTAAAATTCACTGTCTCCTGTGGCTGCAGTTCAGAATTTGTTTTCGTACCATATGGAAGTACCATTGCTATTTATACAGTTTACTCAGGAGAACTGATAACTATGCTTAAGGGACATTATAAAAGTGTTGACTGCTGTGTATTTCAGTCTAATTTCCAGGTAAGAATGATACCTCGGGGAACTTAAAATGTTTAGATAGCTAGACTACTAGTGTATAAAACAGTACATTTTGATTTCACCTTGAAGGATTATGTTTTTAATCCACATTTAATTTAGGATTTATTTAATAGAGAATAGTACAGCCTAGCTTTTAGAAGACATAAGATATAGCTGGAAAACTGTAATATGAATCAATATAATACTGTTCAGTTGGTTGGAATAATTTTTTTCTTTTGCCAGTGAGTTCCATTTAGCCATTGAAAATCTTTGATGAAATGCTTTCTTAAAAATAATCTTTTGATGACTGGCGGAGTGGCTCAAGTGGTAGAATGCCTGCCTGGCAAGTGTGAGGCCGTGAGTTCAAACCCCCCCAGTACCACCAAAATAATGATAATAATAATAATAATAATAATAATAATCTCTTGTGTAGAAAATACATAGAGAGATGTTTAATCTCAAAATATAGTGTATTTTGGTTTGTATACATATGGGTGTGTTTAAAATTTTATTTCTCTTTCTACCACTGGCTAATAGAAGTGTGCCTTAGAATTAAAGCAAATCACATAATTTCTTAAATATTCCTTAGATATTTTGTTTGTTTAACATCATCATCTTTCTCTTTCATATTACCTGTGGAGCAATTTTTTTTGAAAGAATATTTGCACATTACCTCATGTGCTCTTTAAATAAATCTGATACAGCAAAATAGTTGGTATCCTCTGTTTTGTGAGTAAGGACTATGAAGCTCATCAAAGTTGAATACTGATAGAGTAAAAATGGATTAGTAGAAGTAGAGCTTGAAGGGACTTTAAATATCACCTGGGGAAACTCATGTTCTGTTTATTCTTTCATAAATATCAATTATCCAATTTGTGCCTGCTTCTGTTTTGTAAGATATACCGGCCTGAATTTTTAGCCAATATACACTAGTATGGCAATGTCCACTATTACAACATTCAAGTACTTACATACCTCTTTGGTGGTAAACAGCTATTTTACTATCCCCCTAAATGACCTCCAGCTTCAGCTCCTTTCCTGGAACTCTTAGGCCTCACCTCTACCCAGCACCTACAAGGGGACCTCCAGAACACTGCTCCAACTCTAGCCCGTGTCTCTTCTGATTAGTCACTGTTCTGACATAGTAAAGTTTTAGTGTTGCTGCTAGAAAAAGAACATTAAAGCATCAAAGAGATGACATGACTTGCCCCAAACCTACAAGTAGGTAAGACAAAGTGTGTTTCTCTATTCAGAGAAAATTTTAGAATAGTATCCCTCACTTAGAGATTTTCACCCAGATATTTTAACCCCAACTTAGAACTATCCTTCAAATCAGAGTTTCCTAACAGGTGTGACCAAAATGAGTACAAGTTTGCACGATATTGATTCCTTTCAGTCCCTGCAATAGCTAAGACAGCCAGAGATCTGGGGCAAGCTACTGCCTGTCAAATGCCATTTCTGTATATGCTACAATTTGGAAAAATTTTAATCACTGCACTATATCAGAAAGCTCCTAGCCCAAATCCCATTTCATTTATGATGATCTGAAAATGAAAGTAATTATAAGTTTCAAAAGTAAAAGAGGGTGATACATCTGCATAACTTAAGCAGCAGGATCCTTTTGCAAACTTAAATATACAACACTCACTATCTGAAAATGAAAGTACAGTAATTGTGTTATAACTATAAAAATCTGTCAAGATATGCTCAATATAAAAACAATGATAGTAATGTATTATTACCTATTTACAAATATAAATTAATGAAGCTAATCTGGTGTAAATAAGTAAATTAATAAATTGAAAATTTGATGAGGAATGGAGCGTTTACATAGCCTCAGAGGCTACCCTATATGATTAAAAGAAGGAAGTAAAGATAGTGAATATGGGTGATGTACTTTTTATACAAGAATGAATGTAGAATATTTAAACCTGTTGAACTCTCCATAAGAAGGAGACTAAGGTAGAAAGGAGAAAAATAGAGGGGATGAACCAATTTGGGATACAACACATATATACATGTAAATTTCATAATGAAACTCTATCTATACATATCTTAAACAAAAATGTCTTTTTTCAGGGCTGGGGATATAGCTCGGTGGTTTAGTGTTTGCCTTGCATGCATGAGGCCCTGAGTTCAATTCCCAGTACCACAAAAAAAAAAAATGTCTTTTTTCAAAAAATGGAGAATAGGAAGGTAAAATAGGTCCTGTCTGGGGTGGGTACCAGTGTGTGTATGGGGGGATATAAGGAAAGGGTGAAGGAAGGTGAATATGGTGGAAATATCAGGTGCTCATGTATGAAAATAGAAAAATGAAACCTATTGAAACTATTCAAAGAATGGGGGGAGGGGAGATAAAGGAGAATGATGGAGCTGGTGAATCTAACTAAGATATATTATAAGCACTTGTAAATGTCACAGTGTACCTCCAGCACAATAATAGGATAATAAAAATAAATTAAAGGCAAAAAAGATACTAAGTACAGAGGAAAAAAGTAATTTTACCTTGAAAAAACCTGACGTATGTCACCTTAATCAAATGATCAAAGTTAACATTCCAATTATGGTATATTACTTCTGTAATATTCCTGGCAAACTTGAATCATCTGATTTTAGTCATGAGGAAACATAAGGCAAGCCAAATTTGAAGGACATTCTACTAAATAGCTAGTATTCATCTTCACAATTGTTAAAGTCAAAAAAAGCCAAAGACCAAAGAAATATTCCAGATTGAAAATATGAGACATGCCAACTAGGTGTGGCATGTGATTTTTAACTGGACCTTTGCATTGGGACAATTGGTAAAACTTGAATGGAGTTTAAGAATTAGTAATACACCAATGTGAATTTCTGATTTTTGTTGGTTGCATTGTAACTGTACATGACAGTCCCTTGTCCACAGAAAATAGACCTTGAACTATTTAAGGACAGTAGAACTCACGTTGACAATTTACTCTTCATGGTTCAGAGAAAACATTCTTGGTACTGCACTTGTAACTTAAGTTTCGAGGGTTTTGCCTGTTCCAGCCTCAGACTACCATCTTCCTACCTCTGCCTCCTAAGAAGTTGGGACCATAGGAGTGTACCACTATACCTGGCATGTTTTTTGAGATAGGGTCTTGCTAACTTTTTTGCTGGGGTGACCTCAAACCACAGCCTTCCTATCCCCACCTCCCAAGTAGCTAGGATTACAGGTGTTAACCACCATACCCAGCTCAAGCTCTTTTTTCTTGAACACCTGTGGAATGTCTTTTATTTCTGCTTAGCATATCAGTGCTTATGAAATGCCTCAGAATTTTACCTGACCAAGTTATCTCAGGTATGTATCTATCTTCTTAGGGAAAAAAAATTGCTCAAGGTCACTAAACATCAGAACATATCTTTGTAGTATCCAGTTAGTGTAATTATATATTCTAGATTTTATAGCCAACTCAATAGAATTTTGTTTTGTTTAAGAAATTTGATAATATATATCTAATTTAATTTTTGTATATCTGCATTTCCTATAAAAATGTCAATCTTATATTTCCTTTACCCAAAACTCTTACTTAAATAAAAACTCTTAATTATACCTCACTTTAATTTGTTTTTGAGATGTACAATAATAAAAATAAATAATTGCATTATAGAGCAGGGGGGGAATGCCTGTTGTTAGAAATATTTGTGTAGAAAAATGAAAATATATTTGAAAAAAATCCACTTTGTCATTCAGGGTTTTACAACCACTTAACATTTTGCTACCCTTTTAGAGCTCTCCTGTTTTAGTCCTTTCTTCTTTGCACAGTAATTTTTACTATTATTGATCTACTGTTTTACATCCTGGTTTTTTTGCCTTTACATTTTGAGTATTTGATTTACATCTAATTCTTTTCACTTGATATTATTTTCCAGTGTCATTAAATATTCTTAAGAGACAATTGTAATGACATGTAATATTCTATCACATGAATGTACTGGTAATTTATTGACAATCATTCCTATAAACTTTGTATGGATAATATCCTTGGATTTTATGCGTGACTTTGGCATAAACTCTTAGAAATACATACGAACACTTTGGCTGTATACTGAGATTCTATTCTGCAAAAAGATTATACCAATTTATATCCCCTGTGTATGAGAGTATATTTCAATATCTTATGGGAATGCTTTCAATAACAGCCAATATAACATTTTTCCAATTCACTGGGGAAGGGAGAGAGCATTGTTCAGCCAAGAACATACAGCAAGCCCATTAAGACATTGACAGACTATGCATCAGCCCAGGTTTCCTTTCATATTCCCAACAGGCAGGGTTGCGTTTTTCTGCATTTATGGTGAACAACCAATTAGGCATCAGTAAGCTAAATAAAACGTTTTGGAACTTTTGGTCTATTTTTGCAGAAGCTCATATAGTTGTTTTCTTCACTGAAGTTTTTATTATATAGTGCAGTTATTGGCAATGAAAGACAGGTCTTTACTGTATGTTTTTCTTTCTCAATGCTGACACTTGAAATATATGAATACCAGGATTTGTAAAAGCACTAGAATGTTGAATGGTCTTTGAAAAATTTCACACCATTAATAAAGTCCAGCATATCCTAATACTATTTTTAAATACAAAACAAAGTTCTGCTACATCTTTAAAAGACAAAGAAAAGTAAAATGTGTATCAATGTAGTTTGTTTGGGGAGTAGAAACAAATTAATATAAGTCAGAACCTACAGATCATCGCAAGAATGAAATAGCTCATTTTAGGTGACACCCTCTGCCTTCTGCGTCTAGGAACTCTACAGCGGTGGCCGAGACAGCAGCATCCTTGCTTGGGTTCCACCATCATATGAGCCAGTGCCTGATGATGATGAGGTACATATTGTTTATACAGATCGTAGAGTGACTTCTAAATTGTAAGGAAGAAAACTTCATTAATTTATGTGGGAGAGAGTTTACAGCATTCCTTACTATTTTCTGAGTGTAAAAATAGTTTGTTACCACACATTTGGAAAATTCAGAAAAATATCAAAAGAAAAACATAAAATTTCACTTTAATTAATAAATACATTTTTATTTACTCCATTCTTGTTTATCCATTTGTGTATATTTTTAAACATGCAACTGCATATTTTGGCATAGTCCCATTTTAAGTAACGTATGCTGTTAATAGCATGGTTAGACATACAACTTGGTGTCTTACTTTTCTCACTGACATTGTACAATAAGCCTTTTTCATGTCACTAATAGCTATTTGCAGCTGGGTGCTGGTGGTTCATCCCTATAATCCCATCTACTCAGGAGGCAGAGATCAGGAGGATCATAATTCAAAGCTAACCCAGGGAAATAGTTCAGAAGACCCTGTCTGGAAAATACCCAACACAAAAAAGGGCTGGCAGAGTGGCTCAAATGGTAGAATACCTGCCTACTGAGTGTGAAGCCCTGAGTTCAACCCAGTACTGCCAAAAAAAAAAAATCTATTTGCAAACATTTTTAATGTCATTCTTGTGCCTCAACTTAAATATTTACCTATGTCTGTTGACCGTTATAAACAACATCAAGATAAATACCTGTTCAAATGTTTTCATATTTCTGATTTTGTTAGAATAGATTCCTAGAAGTAGAGTTATCTCTTGAGTTGCCATGTATACATTTTAAGGCTCTTTATTAACACCATCAAATTTTACCAATTCACACTTCCATGAGCAATCTAACATTGCCCATCTTAGAGGATAAAGTAACTTGAATATGACATGTGAATAAAAAGCCTTAAAAATGCAGTTGGTAAATAAAGATGAATAATACATTATCCCTGACCTTTCGTGTTTTCTCTGTTTTTTTAAAAATTTATGTCAAATAATAGTAAGATTAAGGTTGTCTAAAGGTGCTGTCTCCTCCCAGGACTTTTATGCTAAACCATGTTAATCATTCCCATTTATTCTAATTTTTAGGATATAAACAGTTTAATGTCTAAAACAATGTTTATACAGTTTTTGAGTTGGAAGTACAAGTAGTGTAATTAGAAGCACCTTAAGGTAATTTTAACTCAAGTCATAGTAAAAACAGAGCATCTTAAATGGAGGTGGAAGAAATTTATGGATAAAGCAAGTTTGACATTCTGAAAACATTTTTCATATATAGTTTCTTTATGAAAACGTGACTGCATCAAAGGCCACTGAGGAGCTAGAGGAATGACTCAAGTGGTAGAGTACTTGCACTACCAAGCATGAGGCCCTGAGTTCAAAGTACCACTACCACCAAAATAAAAAACACATGAAGTAAAATTTTTACAATGTAGTTGATAGATCTGGTAGCTATTGACAAAATATATTTCCTACCTAAATTTGCAACTGCTGTGGTTTATTGCAGTGTGAAGCCTGAGAGTATTTTTTTTCTTTTAACCCTAGTCCAAATGAAAGAGAGAAAAAAAACACATAAATTTCTAGGCAACTGGCCAAAGATCACATGAATATCTGCAGATGTCATTACATGTAATTTGGTTTATTATGTTTGATTAGTTTTAGCATACAGCTGCTTCTGAACACTTAATATGGTCAAATAGCTTGGTTTGGACATTTATTTTTCATTATTTAATTATTGTGTCCTACACTTTGGGAATTGCTACATACATTAAGAACTATAGGCCATGTTAAGAACTGTAACAATCATTTACCAAATGAAAATAGTAAAAATAATTGAAAAATAAATCTATGACTTATGTAAAGAAAAGAACATGAGAAGAAAATGAAATTGTTTATAAAGATAATTTGCAAGTAATTTATTTCCTGGCTACATAATTACAGTGATAGTTTGAACCCCTCATCTAAAAGACCTTTGTATATAAGAAATTAAGCAAAACAAATAGAAAGTCAAACAGACATACATAAAAAACATGTTGAAATCTGGGTGTGGTGGCTTAGGCCCAGCACTGAGACAGGAGAATTGTGAGTTCAAAGCCAGCCCAGGCTACAAAGAAGAACCTGTCTCAAAAAAAAAATCATTACATTTGGTTTTATTCTTCCTTCTCATTATTTGCACCCGGACTAGCCTGCCTGTAAACTGAAGCTTCTTCATCCCCATAGCTATCTGTCATTATAACAAGCAACCTGATGAGGTAGAGAGCAGTGAGTGTGTTCAAGCATAGCCTGGATGTCCACCAGGAGGAGCTGTTGTAGAGAAAACCAAAGTTAGGAGAAGATGACTTATCAGGGGCTCTCACACAGTAATGTATACGCTAAATCTATCTACAACATTTTTACTCCACCTTTTAACTAAATATATGGTATTTTATTTGTGATTGTCTTAGCCATAAAATATACTACTAATAATACTGTAATGTATTCATAGTATCCATTTTACTGCTAATATAATCAGTAAAAATTATATGCAAATATATTAAATTTTTTATTTATTTGTGTTTCTTTGTTCACTATAGAAAATATAATTTATAATGAAATATCATTTTGTTTCTCTGTTGAATCTTTAAATGAAATTAAATAACTTATACATTGGACTTCCATATGGAATTAGGGGTATGAGTTTGTGTGGCGTATCCACCAAGGGACATTTTTTAGTACATGTCTAAGGCAGAGTTAAAAATTTCCAAAGACAGAAGGGAAGAAAAGTAGCTTATCCCCCAAGCACAATGTGTCTTTCTTTGAAGAAACTGTTTGTTTGGTTTTTTTGTGGGGGTTGGGTTTGTGCTTGCAAAGCAGGCACTCTACTGCTTGCACCACACCTCCAGGCCAGTTTGCTCTAGTTATTTTTGGGGATAGGGTCTTGCAAACTATTTGCCCTGGCTGGCTTCAAACCATGATCCTCCCAATATCAGCTAGTATCGCAGGCATGAGCCACCAGCACCCGCTCAGCTCTTTGAACAAACTCTTAATAAAGAACCTACCTTAGCATTTAAATTGTCAATCCCAAAAGATAGGAAATTCAGTAAATATTTAGATAAAAGAATCACTAAATAGATTTCAGTGTACTACTCTTACAGATAAGTAGACTGCTGCTAGAAATGAGTGACTGGTTAGCTTGGGTTTGATCATAGTTTTATAACTGAACATTTGGGGACAGGTGTGATGGAATTTTGATTATACACCTAAGTGATGATAGCTACATTAGGTTTAGTACTGTGATCTATTTAACAACTATGAAGAATGCCTAAGTTACCATTTTGTTTTTCAGCTATTCTAGCCAATACTTGGGAAATTTATTGGGAACACCAACTTTATTTACTGTTTTCATTGTAAGATTCTTAGGTATCATGTACATCGAAAAGTTAGTGAACATTCTCAGAAATATTTCATGTAAAATAGCTCTATAAATTATGAAGGGCTATATGTCCAAAATGATTTAAGAACAGTCCTGGTGCCAATACATTATTGGAATTTGGATCTGTACAAACTGGCAAAAGTAAAAGCTGCAGAACAAGAAGCAAACTGACTCCTAATGCCCAGACACTTAAGAAAAATAAGACCATCTTAAACCCTTATTGTCATTTGCCAGAGAATAAGAAGTAAATTGATTTGATACTTCACAGATAATTAAAATTTCTCTAGTTGCTGATTACATTTGTTAGCTATGGCTCTAAAGCCGTAAAAATACTGTGATGTTTTCTTGGTATTTTAAGCAAATACTATCCAAATACACTTCAGAGAAATCCCAGGAAAGCCTCTGTGCTAATTATAAACATGTTGCCATTTCCTGTGTATTTTGGGTATGCTTCTAAATTACTTTACCAACCGTATAAAAGTAAACTCACTGCTTATAACTCACATCACTTTTTGAACTAAAAATAGTTATTATTCAGCTTAAACATGTTATTCCTCCTATTTGGATATTTGTTTACTTATAAAGATAAAGTTCATCCAGGCAATGCAAAGTTGCCAGCATTAATATACTGGACTATCAAGTCAGACCATAGACTTCAGTCTAGTCTTAATCCCATGGATGTCAGTGCTGTACCTCTCCAGAAAATTACAAAATACATGCATGTATTTGTGAGGTGATTACTTTGAAGGAAACATAGGTTACTTGAATAAAGTCTGGTTTGTCTACTCTAAATGAATTTACATTACATTTGGGGGTATTTCTTACATTACTTATATTTTGAAATTAGCAATTATACAGTTTTTTAAAATAATGTAATTGCCATTTATATGGTATACTTCATAACTATTGTGAGCCTAAATCTATGAATAGAAAAATAGACTCTTCATTCTCTTTTTCTTTCTTTAGCCTACAACCAAATCACAGTTGAATCGAGCATTTGAAGATGCCTGGAGCAGCAGTGATGAGGAAGGATGAATATCGGCCTGTGTCTCTATTGATGCTGCTTTTAAAACAGCATTGTTTTGTGGAATTTTTTTAACTGTTTAGTTTATTCCTGACAAGTAAATTATCCCTGAGTTTTGGTGATACTCCCACAATGTTTTAAGATGAAATTAATATTTTTATAAAATATTCTAAAATAGGCTTCTATATAGTGTATTTAATCAAAACTTGTCTTATTGATCTTAGTTGCTATGGCCAGGGGCAACCCCGTTGCTACAGTACTCGAAGAGGAGTCATTGTTCTTGCCTGGGGCTTCAGACCACATAAACCTAAAGGATGCAGTCTCAGGATCAGCAAGTGGAGGTTCTCAGCCTGACTCTCCCACCGGCTGAGTATCAGCCTGCCCATTGCCACTTTCAAGGATTCTTTCACTGTTCTTCTGTAGGCAGAGACAGGAGGATCAAGAGTTTGAAACCAACCCAGACTTAGTTAGTGTATCCTTATCTCAAAAACAAAATACAAACAAAAGGATGCTGGAGGCTCTGGATTCAATTCCCAAAAGGTTCAGTCCACCCTCCCCCCCCAAAAAAACAAAAAGATTTATTTTTTTACTAAAGGTAGTTGGAAAGGAAGCCGAGCGTGGTAGTGTCGGCTTGTAATCCCAGCACTCAGAAGGCTAAGGCCAGAGGATCTTGAGTTTGGGGCCAGCCTGGGCTACCTAATTAGACCATGTCTCCAAAAAAAAACCAAGGACTAGGGATGACAGAGCACTTAGCATGTAGCAGGCCCTGGGTTAAATCCCCAGCACCACCAAATAAATAAATATATACAGTTGAAATGCTTATATCAAAAACTATATATTTCTTTGTATTCATATATTCACATTTTGCAATAATTTCAATTAGTCTTACGTTAAGCAGTTTTGGACTCAATGTCTCCTACAACTCAAGCTACAACACCGGAGGCTTCTGGGAAAACCCCTTGTTTGCCTCACTTTAATGTCAAAAGCAGTTTGTACTCATGGCTAAATTCCCTTTCTATGAAACTCTTCAAGATATGACCAAGCTCTGCTTCATTCGGCAGAATGAACAAAAATGTCCCAGCAGGGAATCTGACTTACACATGGAATATCATATAACATTTCTTATTTTCTTGTGACCTCTTCTTGTGTCAACCCATGAATATTATAAAGCTAGTCTTTGTGGGTGTGTGTTGCTAGGAATCAAACCCAGGGCCATGCACATGCTAGGTAAGTCCTCTACCACTGAACTACATCCCCATCCTCTGTGAAGCTAATTTTCCATTCCTTTTCTTCTTGATTCTTACCAGCATGCTAGTACAAGATGAGTTTGTGAACTTGAATACTAAGTACACAGTTTTTAAATTTTTAACTCTTAGGACTCATATCAGATCTTTCTGGCCCAATGTTTTCCATGCATTAATTTTTGAGTTGGTTTTCTTAAGTCCAGACCATTATACTGTTAACTTCTCCCCCCTCAGTGAGTATGCGTTCAACTTTTTCTTTAATTTTAAAAAAATTAAGTCTTCTAAACTGTTGCTTCTTTCTAGTTATCTCATTGTAAATATTATTTACTCATTGTAAATAATTCAAGTAAAAAAATTTTTTTTAACGTAATGATCACCTGGAGTCAACATTCTAAGGTAACCATTATTAAATTTGATGACCATTCTCCGTGCATCTCTTTACGGCACATGTAATTGTACATAGGTGGGATGTTTGGTATGCTGTTGCTACTACAGAAACCCTCTCCTCACATTAGCCTCACGCCCCATTCCGTACTCCTCTGCTACAATCCAAGTTGTTAACCTAGTATGCGTTGTTTCATTTTACAACCCTATGCAGACCTATATAGACACATATGGGATATATTTGTTTTGCAAAAGTGGGATATACATAGTTCTGTCTTGATTTTGTTTAGATACAGCTCATGAATCCCTCTGTGGACTCACAAATCCACATCCCTCATAAATCATTTTTATAATGTAGTCATTCTTTTTACCAACTACTTAATACCCCATCTTGGGTTTGGACCACAATGTTTTTCAAGCATTTCCCTGACTAGAGCCACATGTACAGTATAGATTATGAAGTGCACTATATTTTCCTTAGGTGGTGTATTTGAATGGAGTAACTTATTTATTGAATATCATCATTCCATCTTCCAGATTTTTTTTCTGGGTATAGGATTTTTGCTAGGCATATGATTCATAGTCCTTTTCTTTCTTCAGTCCATAAATATTGTATCTATAAATAATTCTTTGAATTTCTGGTATTGCACACAAGAATTCCAATGTCAGTTTCATGTTTTTGCCCCTTGTAGGAAATTCATCTTTATAGGTGGAGCTTGTAAATAATTCAAATAACATAAAAACATTTAAAAAAAAAGTAACGGTCACCTGGAGTCAACATTCTAAGATAACCATCATTAAATTTGGTGACCATTCTCCTTATCATTACAGTTTTTTAATTTTGTCAAAATCTCTCTCTCTCTTTTTTTCTCTCTCTCTTTCCCACCACCGTCCTTCTTAGACTTGTGAGCTCTTTGAAGCTTCAAATCTTTTCCTGGCTTAAGGACATTTTCTTCTATATCATCTATTGCTTTTCTTTGTAGTTGTCGTTCTCCTCCTCTTCTTTCCCCTACCTCCCCTGTTCCTCCACCTTCTTTCTAATAATTGCACGTAAAGTCTATTTTGATTTCTCAATCTTTTCTTTCCTTCCTGCCTTTTTTGTTGCTATTCTTATACTAGTGCCAAATATGTATTAGGTGTTCAATAAGTACTTGTTTCTGTTCTCTTTAATTATTTAATTTTCTTCTCCACCCTAAACCTTTGTTTTTGGATATCTTAAAAACACTTTCAGAAATATATCAGAGAAATATGGGAGTTCTGTAGAAGCTTCTTGAAATTTTAAAATGTTTATTCAATTGATGTTTGTCTAGCCTTACAGTGGCTATCAAAGAACCTATTATGAAGGCAGTGATCACCTAAAACTTCTCTCCAGTGGCATGTATTGTTTATATACTTTCCCTCCACTCTATCTTGGCTAACAGTGTGTGTCTTTTAGTCTTGTAAGGTGCTTGTATGCTGCTATGTTTCAAAGAACACTTAAACCTGTTGTATACTGCAACTTGATCCTAGTTTTAACTAAAGTCATCTGTGATACACCTATGAAATACTTCATTTTTTTAAATGTACAGAAACAGTACATGTACATGTTTTATTGACATAGCCCTAAACCTGTGTTAACCTGCAAGGCTAAAAGTAGCATCACAGATAGGCTTATCCTTTCATACTTGCTACCAAGCCTTCACTTTAGAATTGATTATGGACACACCTTAGTAGAGAAAAAAGTTTTCCCTGCAGGTGAAACATTCTTTTTGTATAGTTTATACTAAAAAGCTCTATTTAAACTAGACTTAAAAAAAAACTTTGAAGAAAACTCTGTAGACAAACCCTTAAATTATACTGATTGTAAGATGAAAATAACTTCAAAATGATGACTATTCCATAAGGAACATGTAGGTATGTAGAGCCCATTGTTAGTGAGGCACCAGAAACCTTTGACTATTATTTTAAATCTGAATGAGAATGAAGCAGTGATAGAAAAAGTTTGCATCAACAAAGGAATCCCAGTTATCTGTGATTTTATCACAGAAAAATCACTCGTAAAATGGAGCAATTGCATATTAAAATAAGTGTTGCATAGTTCTCTCTGTAAAATATTTACTGTCTTAATATAAGAGTGCTTGGTTACTTCTATAAAATGATGTAATTAATGAAGATTAGAAAAGCCAGACACAATTCTGTACATTGTATAATCTTAAGTATATACATTTATTTAGGTTTTTTTAGTATTTTTCTATATTCAGACACTAGTAACTGAGCCTGAACTAAAAAACTCTCAAGTTTCATTAAAACAGTAAACTAACAATCAGTTAAACCATGCCAGAAATGGCATGGCAAAAGCCTGGCGTACTGGGGATTTTGTCTTCCATAAAGTATGGCAGGGAACGCTAATCACAGAACAATCACTTTGCTTTGTGCTATGATGAAGGTTCTAGACATCTGAAGTTTAAATCTAGTGATTGGAATAAAGTTGGTTTTGATTCTGAAAAAGTATTAGATTCAGGGGACAAAACTAACAAAGGCCTTTTTTTCTTTGCAAAGAATACACAGAGTCCTTCTGTGCTGCCTGCAAACACTGTATTAAACCTCCTTGGTTACTACAGTTATTTTAGTACAAACTCATTTGTTTTGTTAGTTCTCTCTGCAGTATCCTCAGATACAGGATGCATAGTTCTTTGACTGCCCTCTTTTTTCCCCCTTTTTAAATTAGATCCCTGAAAATTCAAAACAAGGGGGAAAATAAGACAAACTGTTGTGACCTCTTAGTGCTCTATGTATAAGAATCAGCAAATGAATACCTTATGTCCTCTTGTCTCCTCATGAAGGTACAGGGAGATTTTGTACTAGTGAGTGGGCACAGCTCTTCTAGTTTGTGCTCTCCCAAGACTTAGGGGGGAAAATGGGTGTTACAATCCTAACCTGTGACTAAAGTCACAATTACATCAATGTATAAGACTGAATTCCTAAAGCTTCTATTTTTAATGACTTATCTGTGAATTGTTATTGCATAAAGTTTGCAGAACTTCTAGCAAGTAACTAGGCCTGGCTAGTATTGTTGTCTCCTTGACATTGGTGGTCACCTCTTGAAGGTAACAAATGATTTTAAGTGATTTGCACAAGCCACTTTTGTTCAAATCATCCTTTTGCAGCAAAGGTTAGCAAAATCCCTAAACTAGGGCCTGTTGACACTTTAGACAAACACCAGCAGGAACAGAATTGCTGAGCCCATGGCTCTGACACTTAACTCTCCAGCTTCACTCCATGCCATAGAATGTTGTCTGAATCTGTGTATTTTCTAAATAATGCACTGTTCAAAGTTGTACTAAAATAAGGAAATAACATTCCTAATAGGTCTTTGGGAATTGAGTTAGCAGTTTTTATTATACTGCTGTAAAGTTTTCATATATACATATATGCAATATGCAAAGTTTTATCAGTTTCACTAAGTACTATGGAAAAGAGTTAATTAAATATAACTCTGATAATCACTATGAACTTTGAAGAATGGTAACATTTTTTTTTAATTATAATGGTTTCATAAAGAAAGAACTCATAGCTGGTCAGGGTGGTGCACAGCTATAATCCCAGTACTCGGAAGGATCACAATT